CCAGCTTTTGGGTTGCTGCTTAATGGTGTCCCCAGGAAAACTTCCAGCCTCAGCAGCTGCTGTTCTCTCTTCCAGGCTGTGGGGGGGAGCCACCCGGGAGACAGGGGAGGAGACGGAGGTCTGGGGGGTATGCGGCAGCAACAACACAAGCAATAGGGGGGTGGCAGGTGGGGGCTGCAGCTCCAACAGGAACCACTACCCACAGCAAAGCCACCCCAGCCCCCGGCTCAGTCCTGGCACATGGAAGGTGTGAGTGGGCCAGCCCAGCGGGGGCAAGAAAGGGACATCCATGGGAAGGACTGGATGGAGCAAAGCATCCTTATAGCAACTCCCACTCTGGGCCATACAGCTGCTCTGGCTGCTCTCTCTGTTGTCGTGCCATGCCTCGAGATGAATGTGCTGCACGTCGGCCCTTTCCAAGCCACAATTTCACATATGGCATGGGATTCCACTGAGTATAAGGAGATCCCACACATGAAATGAATAGCAAGTCCGCCACATGACGAGTGGTAAGTGCAGTCTGTTTCACTGTAATGATGTTGTTCATCGCACTGAATCCCCTTTCGCAGTCAGCATCGCTTGCAGCAAGGGTGTCCACTGCAAGGACGAGTTTTTTAAGTTTACCAGGAATGTTTTTTCCTCCAAAAGCCTTGAATTCAACAAATCCCTCAGTTGATCAGACAATGCTCTTCTTTCCTTTTCTCCGAAATGGGGATTCTCTGGATTCTCTTGCCATTTTTCGGGATTCAAAACTGACAAATTGTTAATTAAGTTCTTATAATTGGAAGACCTTTCTTCACGTGTGCTTTGATCGGCTTTGTTTGAGGCAGTTGTAAATAGCAAGCCCACGTGATTACCATGTGGGGGTACCGTATGGCACTCAAAAGCTAACTTTGGAACAGCCACATGAATGTCTTCCTGGGAAAACAAAATCTTCTTGTCTTGCTTCGCAGATCTAAATCTACTCTGATCCAGGTATAGTCTAAATGTATATGTACAGTATGGATGGATATCTCAAAAAAGATAGACTCATAGACTCAAAGGTCAGAAGGGACCATTATGATCATCTAGTCTAGCTCTTCAGTGTAGGAGTTGGACCAACAAACAGCCCCCTGGGGAAGGACGGACTCCATTAAGCAGCACACATTAAGCAGAAGTTCCTGAGGTGTGTTAGCCCAGAAACACTTGTCTCCCCCCCCCCCACCCCTTAAAAGGGCACTGGCACCTTCCCCACAGGACAGTAATACATACAGTATGTATGTGTATGAATGTGTGTGTCACAAACAATGCAGCTGCAGCCTGGGAGTTGACACATGTTGCAAGAAACTGTTCAAAATGAAGTGGGCAATTGATACCCCTGCAGTCATAGGGCACAGGAGAGTTAGTGGGTTACAGATTATTGTAATGAGACCTAAAACTAGGGTCCATGATTTCTGGTCTCTAGCAGAGTTATATACTTAAGCTCTTAGGCTCGTCTTTTGAAGGTAGGGTGACCATATGTCCCGATTTTATAGGGACAGTCCCGATTTTTGGGTCTTTTTCTTATATAGGCTCCTATTATTCCTCACCCCCTGTCCCGATTTTTCACATTTGCTGTCTGGTCACCCTATTTGAAGGTGTTGTGCAGGTTTCCTTTCAGGACCAGGACTGAGAGAAGACGAGCACTCTGGAGCTCGAAAGCTTGTCTCTTTCACCAAATAGCAGTGGCTCCAATAAAATATATTACCTCCCCTGCCTTCTTTCTCTACATTTAGGAAGAAACTTCTGTTATGGGTAAATTGTTCCATAGTTGTCCACTACAGGAATCCAGCCACCTTTGTTTGAACTATGTGATACCAGCCCCTGTCAGAGAGGATACTGAACTAGAAAGATGACTGGTCTCATTGGGTGTGGCTATTTCTGTGTTCCCATTCTTTTAAAATAAGATTACCTGCTGTGTTACTGTACTAAACTTCCTGATAATACTGCAGTGCTATATTGCATACTTCTCGCTCATTAATATTAAGATTCTTTATACCCGAAGGTAAATATCCAATGGCTGGAAACTGAAATTGGACAAATTCAGACTACAAATAAAGCATATGTTTTTAACACTGAATGTAATTAAACATTGGAATAATTTACCTAGGGATGTTGCGTATTCTGTCACTTGAAATCTTTAAATTCAAGACTGGTGGTTTTTCTAAAAAATCTTCTCTAGTTCAACCAGAAGTTATGGGCTTGATGCAGGAATCACTGGGTGAAGACTAGATCATCATGGTCCCTTCTGATCTTAAAAATGTATTACATATAGACTTTGGCACTGATTTGGTTAGTATTTTTTCAGGTCAATAAATCATACTGCAGACTGAAGTCAGTATCTGCTTAGCATCTACTACTGAATTTCTTATGATCAATTGAAACAATGCTATCCAGAGAACTAAACTTGGGAACATTAGCTTAATGGTGGATACATGGGCAAGATCGTATTTTGCAACCCATCAGAATCACCATACATTACTCTTGGCTGTCATAATTAACTCTTTCCATGAATGAGCAAGTCCTCAAGGTGGCTTTGGAAGTTTATGTTTTGATAGAAGAGGTGTATTGGCCACAGGTAAACTATTTAGGTTGCTAGAAACAAATTAACAACCATTTAAAAAAACTGGCTTTACTGTTCACGAAAGATACCAGATTGACTGCTCTTGAATTTGAAGTTTCGAGGGCCTGACTGTCCTTTCATTTATACCAGCTATAGACATTTAGCAGCTGTAGACAGTTCTGGTCATTCCCAAATCAAACAACACAGTATTCAGGGTGGAGGTGTTTTGTTGCTTTATATAAATGAACGATCATCTCATTATTTTATATTCCATTGTTTATACAGTCTAACGTTTACCTTGTCTTTTTCACATCAGCGCTATACTATGAGTAGGTGTTTTCATTCCACTAGTCACAAATAAACTTAATTCTCTTTTCCAATTAGTCAGACATCAGCGATGTGGATAAATAGTTCCTTCCAACGTGCACTTGTCAACACTGAACTTCATCTGCCATTGTGTTGTCCACTCATCTAGCTTTGTTAGATCTCTGTGTAGTTCCTCACATTCTTCTAGTCTTTACTATACTAAACAATTGTTTGTCATCTGCATATTTGGCCACCTCAGTCTTCACTGACTTTTCAAGATCTTGAATGAATATATTAAACACTGGTCTTAGTACAGGACCTTAGGACATCCCCTCTCCTTGCTGTGCCATGATAAGTATTCCAGAAGGCAGGAGTCTGGCAAATTATGACATTAGCCCTCTGCAGTAAGCTAATATTATCTCCATTTTTCCGATTGAGAAACTGAGACAGAGAAGTCAAGTGA